CTAAAACAAAGGGAATAGTTGTAACTTTAATCCTTTAAATAAGCCTTTGTTTCCCATTGACTAAAACTTCCCAAAGGAAGTAAAGCTGCGAAAATCCAGGAAGGAATTAGATTGGCCAAATTCTGTTCCTAGTTGGATTTAGATGCAAAAGCTTTGTTACTCGTTGTACAAATGCTTCAGTAAAAAAAGAATGATGAATTACAAAAATGCATTTTTGCCAAGATTGAAAATTATTAATAGAAGAGCTTTCCCTATCACAGAATGCACACTATGAACTTACATAGCTTAAATAAATAAATAAAACAAAATATTAATTTTTTTGCTGCTGCTGCATTTTTCTTCTGTGGTGTGGCTTTTTCTCTTTTTTGTTATCTAAAAGGAAATGGATACTAGCCTGACAATCATAAAATAACCTAGATAAGCAAATATGGAAAAGAAAAATCAAATGCAACCTCTTACTTAAATTAAGCTTGCTTTGCAGCATCCAGAATAAGAGAGATCTTCAAAATCCCTTCCCATGACAACGAGTAATTGCACACTGGAAAGTGAACTATTGTGGCAATAAAGCTGAATTCCCTGAAGACCTTTCAGAGACCCTACCAATTTGTTTTGTATTTTTTCCACATGCTCCTTTGTACCGCTTCATGCTCTCCAGGTTTTAACTAGCCAAACATGTAGAAACTATGTAAATATATTAGCACATATTCTATAGGCCAGAGGTCCTTTTAATTTCTTATCTCCTTCCCACCAACATGGTGTATATTTTAACTGGTCATTTCTTGATCAATAGTACACTGGAAGATCAAAGAATATTTGAGCCACCATTTTTGTGAAGTGCTACATAAGGACAGATTATGGAAGGTGCTGACAACTTTCAACTTCTCATGGTTTCAGTGGAAGTGTTTAGCATATTGTAGCACACAGCCCTTAAGTAGAATCAGCACTGTATTCCAAAAGAAGTATGTCCAAGGTTTGGCCAAGCTTGGCTGGGCCACTGAGTCGGAAAGGCTACACTGTGAGTTCCAGCAGCCAACAGTGGGCAACAAAATGCTGTGGTTAACACCAAATCCAGGGTCTGTGAACTGCTAGCTCAGCCCATTCAGAAGAGAGGCTGACTGGGGGCGTTCAGCCCCAGCAGAACCAAATGCCTTTGGATTCCTAATGAGACATATTTATGACTCTGCTATGGAAACACCCATATAACATTTGTAATACAAATACATAAATTACAAAATTTTGGAAATAGCTTCAGTTTAAGATATTCCAGGTGCTAATGACTAATTTTCAAGGATATATTAAATATCATTATTCACAGTGACTTAACATTTTCTTTAAGATTTTCCTGCATATTAATAGAGATATGTGGAGTACATCCCTAAAATCACTAACAAGTATTTTGATTAGATCATATTATAACAGGAGAATGAGGAGAGGGAGAACAAGAGGAGAGGAGAGGGAGAAGAGAGGAGAGGAGAGGAGAGGGAGAAGAGAGGAGAGGAGAGGAAAGGAGAGCAGAGCAGAGCAGAGAAGACAAGAGAAGACAAGAGAAGACCCAGATTTCTGTATTCCACTTTTAATCACTACAGTTGACAACCCCCTCCCTCTCTTTAAGACAGAAAAGCCCATTTTAATTTAAACTACAAACTGTTGACCAGGCCTCAGCTTGGCTTTGCAATTCACTATATGCCTGAGGGATAAATTATTTAGCATTAGCACATGGTATGTCATGTCTTGTTACTTAAGTGGAACATGGCTTCCATCCAGCTGTACCCCCGGGACCCCCCCATTGGCTGTGGGTGATGTCATTTCCATTTGGTAATCCTCAGAGAAGGCCCAGGGGACAGAGCTGGCCGCCCAGCAGGTCCCCCAACCCCTCCGCCTCCCACCCTGGCTTTGCACCAGCTTTGCTCCTACTTATCACTGTAAGGTTCACTGCAGGTGCTGCCCCCATTACACAATTTTCAATAATAGTGCAATGAAACAGAAGGTGCATCAGATGAGCTACATCATCTGCACACTGTGTTTTGTGCTCTCAACAGAGGATTTCTTATAAATTCAGTGAGATGGATATGACAAAATACATTTTTGCACCAGAATCAAATTAAATTGAGAATTTTGAGGGGTTTATTGAATCAAGTATGAAAGAATTGGTAACTATGCCTAAAATTAATTTACCTATTTTCAGTGTATTGTAGAAATTTGTTCCAAAAACCTGTTTTTGAACCGCAAGATAAATGGATTCTGGACAAATTATCTGAGAGCATAAACTCTTGAAAATGTTTCTTCTGAAAGTTTGGCAATAGAACCATTAGCTAAAGTGCCTTTTAAATGGCCATATTTTGTTTTCAGCTAGCACCCTCATGATATAAAAAGGGGTTTTCCATCAGAACTACCTTCAGGTTATTTGCCACAGAGGAAATGCTTGTGCTATTCACTGTTGGAAGGTGCTCAGCTTAAAAAAAAAAAAAGGTTTAAGAGGGTTGGTTTGTTTTGACTGAATTTCACAGCAAAGTCATTGAAATGCTGAGAATTACGGAGCACTCTGTGGTACAGATGGTACCGTCTGCTCCGTGTGAGGCACAGATTTGCATCTGTGTGTCAGTTCAGGTTCCGCAGTGGTTCTGCTCAGCCTTGTGTTCTGACAGGTAACAGTAAAGATGCAACTGACAGACTGTATGAAAACCACGTGTTTTGTTACTTGTGTATTAGCTTTTAAGTACACCACCTCATACTCTACTACCAGAACTTTTTGTTTCTTGTGGTGAGGAGGTATGAAAACTTGACTGTGATTTGCCTTCTCTGTTACTGGATCTTAATTTTTTACAACAGCGTTTTGCACGGGAAGCAAGAACTTTGTGAAAGCTTTGTGGTCTTCCAGTGAAGTGCATAAATTCTGAGACAGAGGCAGAAAGGGAACTTTGCAAGGGGATTCCCACGAAAAGAGATGCTGAACCAATGCAGTGCGAGATGCTGTTAAATAAACAACTGCAGGACAGGAAATGAAGAGCTCTAATCGATACCGCAAGAGGCATTATGTAGTCAAATGTGAAAATTCAGAAGTGCAATTTAAATCAGGACAGCTAACTGCTTCTTCTCATCCTGCACACAATAAACAAGGATTCAAAACCTGCTTGATTTCTGTAATTTGCAAACTGGCACCTGCAGCAAGGCCCAGCCTCAGCACCAGGGCATTGATTTGAGCACCCAGCTGGAAGGAAACACCTGGATTTACACCAGTGTTTATTCTCCCCCAGCTACCGGACCTTTTTAGCTAGCTAATAATGAAACAGTGGGACTAGAAGGGGGACAGGAGAACGAACTGCTGTCAGGGGAAGGACGGCCAAGGCACGTTTGCCGGCGAAACAGAACAAAAATGCACGTTGGCTCAGCTACCAAGCTGAGCCGAGGACACCAGAGAGCCACCTCACAGTCCAACCCGTTACCTCAGGCCGAAACGCGCCCGGCAGCCCCCGCAGGGCGAGCGCGAACCAGACCCACCCGCTGCCCCGCCTCAGG